CTCATGGCAGCAACACAAGTCTTTTAGGCATTTTTCTGCAACATTTGGATGGTTAGAATCTGGTATAAGGAACGTATTGTATAATATGGTTCTGACTGTATATGTAAAGGGTGTCATTGTTAAAAAGGCAAAACTGTAAGTACTCCAATAGTCTATACATCTGTGCAAACACTAAATAAAACTGCTCTATCAGAAGCAGCTCACCTATATTACACCGACTACAATCTGATGACTTGTTCTGCTCTTCAGTGCATTATCGTTAGGTGCCAGAGATGTATGTGTAGTACCACGTACTGTTGATTTTAATTAAACTTCACAAAAGCTAACATTAAATTTCAATATTTTTCTACAAACACTGTTTACACTGTACATATGAGGTGCTGTGGGGCAGCCCAGCACTACTAGGCTTATCCAGAGTTTCAGGTTTCCTGTATCAACTGTCAGTGTTGGCATTTGGAGGAGTAGAGGAGCATGGATGTAAGACACACACACACACACACACACACACCTGATGTTGCCTAAAAATGGCTTTTTCACTACATCAGCCAATGCTATTTCATAACCACTCTTTGCTCTTGGCTCACCTTCAGCCAACAATGACTATGCATAACCGGACACGCTGACTTCAGACCATGCTTGTCTATTTCTTGAAAGATAGGCAGTTAATATACTAAAATATCAGAAGGTATTTTACAAATATATTTAAGAACCGCATTAAAATGTGCCTTAAGAGCATTTTTGACTGTAAAGGGAAGGAAAGGAAAGTAATGATCTTAAGCAGGCAAAAACTCTTAAGAATTAATTCCTTACCTCCTTCGTTCTCTGAAGCTGTATGCTCTGACTGACTCTGTTGTGGCAGAGGTGGTGCATCTGCTGGAAGGGGCTCTTCCTTCACCAGACTTACCAGCCTCTGAAGCTCTTCAGGTGACTACAGAAATTACAGTATCAATTCAAATTAGTTTTTCTCCCCCATTTTTGGACATTGCTTGACCTCTTAGTTTACTGGTCATTAGGGACCAGTAAACTAGTGGTATCGTCAGAAATGTTTTCCTTTTCCTCACCAGTTTCTGCAGGTCGTCGTTACCTCCAACATGAATATTGTTAAAGAAGATCTGAGGGACTGTGCTGCGTCCTGTCAGCTCCTTCACCTTTGCTCTCAGCTCTGAATGACTACCGAGGTCTATGTCACATACAGGCACTCCCAAGCCAGCAAGGGTGGTCTTGGCCTGCGTGCAGTGTGGGCAACCCTGGATTGAATACACAGTTATTCGCCCAGGAGCACTGCTCTCATAGTCTCCCATCGGAAATACTAATGGAAAATCAAGAGAGAAAGATTTATACAATTTGAAGAATGTATGCAAAAATAGATAATCCCTAAGCAGAAAACATACCCAACATGAAGCACACTTTTGGCCTTCTCAATTTGTACAAAATGTAATAAACTCCTTGAAATACAATTATCTAGTTTTAGGCTTTGTGTACATATATCCAGTGTATACTGTTTATATGTCCTGCCCCTGTGACCCGGCCCCAGATAACCAGAAGAAAATGTATGGATTGTCTCTAATAACACAGAAAAGTATATATATTGAAAAGTATATATACAGGTTGAAATATATAGATATACCACCGCTAATATTCATTTAAGTTTCCCTTAGCAAGTTGCACCTCAACAAGACACTTTTGATATCCATTATGCTTATGGCATAACTGTGCCTAGATATTAGACCACTATTCTTGGCAGAAGTAGTCCACACATTTTCAATACGTTTGAGGTCAAGGCTTTAGGAAAGTCAGTCCAGAAGCTTAATGTTTAATGCTTAATCCATTTCAAAACTAGTTTGAATGTTTGTTTGGGACCATGGTGGTGTTGGGACATCCAGTTATATTCAAGTTTTAACTATCTAGCTGTTGATTTGAGGTGAAGTTGAAGAATTTGAAGGCAACCTCGTTCATTATTCCCAGCCCCAGAGCATGATACTACCACCACTAGACACTGGCAGTTTCTTCCTCCTGCTCATTTCTTAATATTTCCTTGTGTTGAAAGCTGGCCAGTGTGATGTGCATGTCCTGCGAAATGATTTTTTTTTTGCAATGACACAGTTCCTCATTCCTTCTGACAGCTTTAGCTTTGAAGTCTATCAATATTTGTCTATGCGACCCAGATGCTAGATAAAAACCAGCAGGAATAGGTCAATGTCTAAGGTACGTTTCTGTGTCATTGAACGTACACATGTCAAATCCCCTGATTTGCTCTCGACAGAAACCTCCAGATCTAATCGCGTTACCACGATCATACACTGATTTCAAGAAAAGTATCAAACTGTAAGATGTAAGATAGTTCAATTCAATAAGACCAAAGATAAACAGTAAATACCAACGTGTGGTTGAATGTGAATCCCGACAGAAGGGAAAATAATATTACATACCCTAAAACATTACTGTAAGTGGACCAGCAGTTTAACTGAAAAAACTAACAAGAATGCTTAAATGTTTAAGTGACATGTAAATAAGCGGCACTGCACTAACAGCATACCAGCTAAGCTAAACGAATGGACAACTAGCTGAGGTAAATTAGCAAATGATAACAGTACATTACCTTTCGGGTTCACTAGCTTCACAGTACGATATTAAACTGGAGAACGGATCCTCTTAGCCTCGTTAAAGCATGTTAATATGATAGCGTGACGCCAGCTAAACAGGCTGGCCAGCTAAACAGGCTGACCAGCTCTCCCGTCCGAGCATCGCTACTGCGCAGGCTAGCTGCTAGTTTGGTTTATGATGCCTTCAGGAGCTCACCGTACACTTCAAATTTCAACGATTGATATTTTGGTATTTATTCTAATGAGCCTCTAATAAGTCAAAGAAAAATGGAGAAAAACTGCCATTTTTTTACGTAATAATTACCATAAAACGTGTCAGTACACAGCACCAGTTTCCCTGAATGATACAGCAGAAGACACTGCACTCTCTAGCTCCTACTTATTAGTGAGAGCAAAAAGTAATGGAAAAATGTCTTTTGTTTGTTTTGCTTTCTGTAAGTAAATATCAAGATTCCCATATTTTTTACAAACCTAAAGGCAGCGAAAGCCCTTCTGTACTACATTCGTGTTCACTCTGTTATCGTAATTTCTAGCTCTTACGGTGACAATTGCGGTGTTGACAATACCTTAAGTTGTCTGCCCTCCGAAATATTGCGAACGCATCAACGTAACATAGCAACCAGTGTTTTGAACGGATCCCGTTCCCACTACTGCTTGTTTCCGTACGGAGAGATTTCTTGCAGGACTCGCATGGACGAAACCGCCCCAGTGTTTTCGTTTTGCCAAAAATGTCAGGACTATCAGAAACAGAGCGTGCTGGATTTACGAAGATACTGAGCCTAATGACAAAATGCGACTTACTGTCACTCAGTGATACGGTCACGAATAAGATGATAGTCGTGGAAAACATTACGGGTAAGACTTTTATTCAATTTCATATGGCAAAGAGGAAGTCAGCTTACCTTAAGTCTTTACTGGAGCCCAGTGAGTTACATAATGTCCTTAATCAAGAGATTTGTTGTATACCTACCAAGAAATAACAAATAAATTGCATGAAAAATTTCAGTGTTTTCTCACCTCTGCTGGATAGATAAATAAATGATTAGCTTATCCTACTCTGTCTGATCATTTTTCCACTGCAGAAGCTAAAGAAACCATTCTCGCCTTCACTAAAAATGCCGAAGAGCTCCTGAGGAGGAAAAAGGTTCAGCGTGACCTGATATTCAAGTACCTGGCTACAGAAGGTGTGGCGATGCCCCCAAATAGCGAGAAACACATGCTTATAAAGAGGACCCTGGAGCTGTGGTCCTCTGTAAAGGTAACTTGACACACGAGAGAAACAGAAGCCACTACCGCCAGTAAATGTTTTATTTGGGGATAAGCCAAAGGCGACCCATCTATTTTATAAAGGATGGAAAGTATTGTTTATTGAATAGTGAAGTCCAGTGAAGTGAAGACATGGCACTGATGTTGGTATGCCTGGAAAGAGGAGACATAATTAGGGTTATTCACACACAGTGTCCTCACACACCTTTATAACAGGTTATATATTGCTTTGAAAAAGTAATCACCGAACAACAGACTGTGCCACCCTTGGCAGCAAGAACTGCAATCAAGCAGTTTTGATATTGAATAGGCCATTCCAAAAACTTCATTTTATTTTTTTGAGCTATTTAGAGATGGAGTTCCTGTTGTGTTTTGGATCCCTGCACTGGTGCATAACCCTAGTGCTCTTGAGCTTGAGGGTGGAAATTGATGGCTGGACATTCTCTGGATTTTCTGGTAGAGAGCAGAATTCATGGTTCAATCAGTCAGGGCAAGGCATCCAGATCCCAAAGCAGTCCCAAATGATCACACTACCACCACAGTGTTTTACTGCTGCTGTTTTTTTTTTTT